ATTCCTAGAATTTCCGTTTCTGTTACTCATTTGTTTTTGTATGGTGTCTACTTTGTCCACTAGAGCCCTTAGCATATTAATCACAGTAGATATTTCTGGTAATTCCAATACCTGCCATATCTGAGTTATTTTTGATGCTCTGTTTCTTCAAACTGTGTTTTTTACCTTTTAGTATGCCTTATAATTTTTTTGATGAAAGCAGGACATGATGTCATGGGTAAAAAGGACTGAGGTAAGTAGGCTTTAGTGATGTCCATCCCCCCTTCTCCTCCCAACCTCCTGTACTCTTAGGTGGTACAGGATGGCTGGACGGAGCTGGAGTTGGGGATTTCCCTTCCCCCAGGTTCTGGTTTCAAAATGGTTGCTTTAACACCCCCCTTGCTGGATGCACAAGGGGGCTTTCTTTCATCTTCACTGTGAGAACCTTGTGGAGCTCATGGAGGTAAAGCTCACCAAATGGGGGGCATCCTCCCTAATGCTGAGACCCTCTCTTATTCTTTACTCTCAGAGTTGTCCAGACTGAGCCTCCAGCAGTTTGTCTGTTGCAGTTGAGGTTTTCCTACCCTAGTGCCGGTTCCCATGGAGGTTTCTATTCGTGAGTTGCTATTTTTGTAAATTGTGATTCTTTACATCTGCTTGTCTAATTTTTAGGGAAGTGGTTTTTTTGCCCTCATTTTTCTCATGGATCTAAGAAGATTGTGGATTTTCAGTTTGTTTAGTTATTTATATATTAAGACACAGTGATGACTTCTAAGCTCTTTACGTACTGACCAGAAATGGGAAATCTGCCCTACCTCTCTGTGCTTTTTACTTCTTTCCTCCCTTAAAATTTTTTTTATTGTGGTAAAAAATATATAACATAAAATATATTCCTTATTTACAGTTCGGTAGGGTTAAGTATATAGTCGCACATTGTTGTGCAAACCAGTCTCTAGAACATTTTTTATCTTGCATGACTGAAATTCAATACCCATTAAACAGCAACTCCCATTCCCCTGGTGCCCCCCTCCCCCAGCCTATGGCAACTACCATTCTGTTGTGTTCATTTGAATTTCAATATTATAGATACTTCATATGAGTGAAATCATATACTATTTGTCTTCTGTGACTGGATTGTTTTACTTAGCACGGTGTCCTCAAGATTCATCCAGGTCTCCTTTTTAAGACTAATATTTCACTGTAGCATACATTACATTTTGTGTCTCCATCATCTGTTGATGGATGGACACTTGATTGCTCTACCTTTTTGGCTATTGCAGTAGTGCTGTCATGAACATAGGTGTGCAAATTATCTCTTAAATATACTGTTTTGAATTTTTTTTTTGTAGTTACACCTAGAAGTGGAATTGCTGGATCATACAGTAATTCTAATTTTTTGAGGAAAAAATTAAAGCCACACTTTAGCTTTACCATTTTATTTTCCCACCAATAGTGCACAAATGTTCGAATTTCTCCATATTCTCACCACCACTTGTTTTTTTGATAGTGACCATCTTGATGGGTGTGAAGTGATACCTCATTCTGGTTTTGATTTGCATATCCCTAATGATTAGTGACGTTGAGTATCTTTTCATATGCTTGGAGGCTACTTGGGTATCATCTTTGGATCAGTGTCTATTCAAATCCTTAGCCCATTATTTGTTTATTGTTAGGTTGTAGGAATTCTTTATATATACTCTGCTTATTGATGCCTTATCAGATAACATGATAAATATCTACTCTTACCAGGGTCTGAAGTTATAATTACTCTATCCTCTTCCCTCAAAATACAGAGTTTTAAGAACACTTGAATTCTGATTTCTGTCTTTATGACTTACATATTATTATCCATCATTTTAGGTAGTTTCACTTTGGTTTTATTCTGCCCTTCCCCTTCCCACTCGCAGTCAACTTTTGCTTATTCTTTAACTGAACCAGTGTTTGTTTAGTTTGATTTCTTTGTTTACTGTTTCTTCTTGCATGTCATGTCTTTCCTAAGTGATCAGTTTCTATATTCTTTTTTTCCCCCACTTTAAGTAGACCCCACCCCCAGTGGGTGGAACACAGGGCTGGAACTCACAACTCTGAGATGGAGACTTTGAGCTGAGATCAAGTCGGATGCTTAACTAACGACCCAGGTGCCCCATCTATATTCTGAAGTACATCCATAAATAGCTTTTTCAGTGAAAGTCTGTTAATTATAAACACTTAGGTTTTTATTTTCCTTTATTTGTGTTCTGAAAGGTTTTCAGTTGTATCTTCTTTCATAAAGATATTACCATGTCTTTTGTCTTTTTTTTTTTTTTTCCTAAGTTTATTTTAAGAGAGTGTGGGAGAGGGGGAAAAGAGAGAATCCCAAGCAGGCTCCATGCTGTCAACATAAGAGCCTGACTTGGGGGCTTGAATTTACAAACTGTGAGATCATGACCTGAATTGGAATCAAGAGTGGGACCCTTAACCAACTGAGCCACCCAGGTGCCCTGGTGTTTTTAATTTTTAAGATTAATTTATGTCCAAGTTAGTTATCATATAGTACAATAATGATTTCAGTAGATTCCAGTGATTTATCCCTTTTGTCTAACACCTAGTGCTCATCCCAGCAAGCATCTTCCTTAATGTCCTTTACTCATTTAGCCCATTTCCCCACCCACAGCCCCTCCAGCAACCTTTAAGAGTCTCTTAAAACAGAGTTCCTGTTTTTATATTATTTTTGCTTCCTTTCCCTTATGTTCATCTGTTTTGTGTCTTAAATTCCACATGAGTGGAGTCATAGGATATTTGTCTTTCTCTGACTGATTTATTTCACCTAGCCATAGTCTAATACCCTCTAGTTCCATCTATGTAGTTGTAAATGGCAAAATTTATTCCTTTTGATTGCTGAGTAATACTCCATTGTATATATACACCATGTCTTTATCCATTCATCAATTGATGGGACATTGGGCTCCTTCTGTACTTTGGTTGTTGATAGTGCTGCTGTAAACATTGGGGTGCATGTGTCCCTTTGAAAGAGCACACCTGTATCCCTTGGATACTTAATAGCAAAAATTGCTGGGTCATAGGGTAGTTCTATTTTTAACTTTCTGAGGAATCTCCATACTGTTTTCCAGAGTGGCTGCACCAGTTTGCATTCCCACCAGCAGTGCACAAGAGATTCTTTCTCCACATCCTCACCAATATCTGTACTTGCCTGAGTTAATTTTAGCCATTTGGAATGGTATGAGGTGGTATCTCATTGTGGTTTTAATTATATTTCCCAGATAATGAGTGATGTTGAGTATTTTTTCATGTCTGTTAGTCATCTGGATGTTGTCTTTGGTAAAGTGTCTATTTTATCTTTTATCCATTTCTTCACTGGATTATTTCTTTTTTGGGTATCGAGTTTGATAAATTCTTTAATGTTTATTTTTGAGAGAGAGAGACAGAGAATGAGTGGGGGAGGGGCAGAGAGAGAAGGAGACACAGAATCCAAAGCAGGTTCCAGGCTCTGAGCTGTCAGCAGAGTCCAACATGGGGCTTGAACTCGTGAACCACAAGATTCACAGTACTCTGAGCCAGCCAGGTGCCCCATCATGTCTTTGGTCTTCTGTTTGACACTTAAGTTTCTATTGAGAAACCAGTTCAGTTGTTACTTCTTCATAGAATATCTGTTTTTCCTTCTTGTTGCTTCTCTTTGTGGTATTCTTCTGTATCCTTATGATGGGTCTAGGTGCAGATTTAACTTATATCCTGCTTGGTTGGGGCTTTGCTTCCTAAATATGAGGCTCCCTATCTTTCATCAACTCTTGAAAATACTTAGCTAGTAGTTCTTTAAATATTGCCTCTTCCCCATTCTCTCTATTCCTTCCTTTTGGGCCACCTGTTAAAACTTTCTCATTTTTGGACCTCTTTATTTTATTCCCCCTATAAACCTTTCTTTCACAAAATTTTTAAGTTTGCTAACCTTTTGTAATCTCCTTATATCTCTTCTCATATATATATCATCTCTTATATTCTCTTCATCTAATTTGCCATTTTTTTCTTTGCTTTTCTAAGCGATTCTGTTTGGTTAATTTTAAAATCTTCTGATCTTTGTTGGTATCGTTTGCTTGTCTCCTGGTTTTGATTCCTTCTTTTATGACTTTAAACATTGGAATGTACTTATAGTCTCTAGTGTATTTTACTAACTTTGGTTCTTATCGGTGTAACTACTCATTGTTCAGTCATAGTAAAAGATTGGTCCTTATGTGTTTTGTAATTTAGAATTGTAAACTCAGGTTCAGCAGGACTTTATATATGGGACTCTTACGTGACTTTGGTAGAGAGTGTCTGTCTCCAGGTTTCCCAGGGATTTTACCAGGCTGAGGCCATTTTAGGTTAGATTCTCAGTGAGGAGAAGTTGTTACCAGACCAGTCAAGGCAGTGTAAATCTGTACTCTGAACTCAAGTGAAGGCAGGCCGAAGATTATAAATTCTCTAGGGATGTACCCTTTTCTCTCTCCTCTCATGGAGACTAGGTCCTTTTGTCTCCCTAGTGTCAGGTGAGGTGACTGTTTTTCACTTATCTGTGTCTTTCCCTGAAGCTGTTGTAGTTCTTAATAATCTTAGGACTATTTACTGCTTTGTTACCTAGAGCTTTCTATGCATTATCTCAGAATGATGATGGGGAGAGATATGATAGGGATTATTATACCCATTTTACAACTAAGTAAAACTAGAGCTGTTACTCTTCTGAGATTATGTAGGTGGCAAATGATAAAGCTATCTTAGAGCTTGCCATGAGAAATGAGGCATTCTGTGTCTTTTTGCCATGCAGCCGCTGGTAATACTCTTCATTAGGATAAAACTAGGTATCACCTCAACATCAGTCGTAAAGAACCAGTGTTTTCCTGCAGGTTTGTTAAAATTCATTCGTTCAACAAATTTGAGCACCTGCTACATTCTAGGCACAAGAATTAAATACAGGAGGTCTGTTACAACTGGGAGCTGAAGTACAGATTTTAGATTTGCTGCCTGACATGCTTTCTGCTTTCCTTCTATAGACTAATAATGGTCTCCAGCTGCCAAAGAATGTTGTGGATGCCAAGAGAAAGGTAACCATTTCTCAGCCCCTTGAGTGGAACTGGATGCCTCTAGGAGCCCACGCCGGCTGGCAGTAGACATGGCTGAATTTACAAGCTACAAGGATACTCCCTCCAGCCGCCACTTGCGGTTTAAGTTACAGAGTCTAAGTCGCCGCCTTGATGAGTTGGAGGAAGCCACCAAAAACCTCCAGAAAGCAGAGGATGAGCTCCTGGATCTCCAGGACAAGGTGATTCAGGCAGAAGGCAGCAACTCCAGTATGTTGGCAGAGATTGAAGTGTTGCGCCAGCGAGTGCTGAGAATCGAAGGCAAAGATGAGGAAATTAAGAGAGCAGAGGATCTGTGTCAGCTTATGAAGGAGAAGCTTGAAGAGGAAGAAAATCTCACCCGGGAACTGAAATCTGAGATTGAACGGCTTCAGAAACGAATGGCTGAACTGGAGAAGCTGGAGGAGGCCTTTGGCAGGAGTAAGAATGATTGTACCCAACTCTGTCTGAGCCTGAATGAGGAGAGAAACCTGACAAAGAAGATCTCTGCTGAGCTGGAAATGCTCAGGGTCAAAGTGAAAGAACTGGAATCTTCTGAGGACCGCCTGGATAAAACTGAGCAGAGTTTAGTGTCAGAGTTAGAAAAACTGAAATCATTAACTCTGAGCTTTGTAAGTGAGAGAAAATACTTGAACGAAAAGGAGAAAGAGAATGAGAAACTGATAAAAGAGCTCACTCAAAAACTGGAGCAGAACAAAAAAATGAACCGAGATTATTCAAGGAATGCTTCTAATCTTCTGGAAAGGAATGACCTGCGGATTGAGGACGGGATCTCCTCCACACTGCCGTGCAAAGAATCCAGAAGGAAGGGCACTCTGGACTATCTAAAGCAGGTAGAGAATGAAACAAGAAACAAATCAGAAAATGAAAAGAACCGAAATCAAGAAGACAACAAAGTTAAAGATCTCAACCAAGAGATTGAGAAACTCAAGACACAAATCAAACATTTTGAATCTTTGGAAGAAGAGCTTAAGAAAATGAGGGCCAAAAATAATGATCTTCAGGATAATTACCTAAGTGAACAAAATAAAAACAAACTCTTGGCCAGCCAGCTGGAGGAGATAAAGCTACAAATCAAGAAACAGAAAGAGTTAGAGAATGGGGAGGTAGAAGGGGAGGAGGCTTTCCTATCCAGCAAAGGCAGACACGAGAGGACTAAGTTAAGAGGCCATGGGAATGAGGCACCTATGTCCAAGCACACACCGCGGGAACTGTCCCCTCAACAGAAGCGGGAGAGGCATCGAAACAGGGATATTGCACTCAACAATGAAAACTGTTCTCTGGGCAATAGGCAGGTGTCCTCACCCAATTTCACCAATAGGAGGGCAGCCAAAGCTTCCAACATCGGGGCCAGTACAGACAGTGGGACTCAGGAGACCAGGAGAACTGAAGATCGATTTGTATCTGGCTCTTCTCAGAGTGAAGGAAAGAAGTCCAGGGAGCAGCCTTCAGTGCTTAGCCGCTACCCGCCTGCTGCTCAGGAGCACAGTAAAGCGTGGAAGAGTGCTCCCAAACCAGGTACTGAGAGTGGGTTGAAGGGAAAAGTGGAGAAGACCACACGGACATTTAGTGATAATACCACCTATGGATCTGTTCCCAGTGACGTACTGGGTAGAGCTGACAAGGCTTCTGACACCCCTGCCGAGGCCCTCTTTGTCAAGAGGGGGCAGGTACCTGGCAATGGAAGTCAGGGAACTCAGGCTGCAGACTGTGGCAGTTCTAAGGCAGTTGGAGCTCTGGCCTCCTCTCGAAGATCTTCCTCAGAAGGGCTCTCCAAGGGCAAAAAGGCTGCCAGTAGCCTGGAGGCTGATACCAGTTCCCCAAATTCCAAGTCTCCACTTTTATCAAAGTATCCTTATAATTCCAGAAGCCAAGAGAACATCCTTCAGGGCCTTTCAACCCCAAATAAAGAAGGTGTTGATCAACCTGTAGCAGTTGTGATGGAAGACAGCAGTCAGCATGAGGCCCTGAGGTGCCGAGTCATCAAATCCAGTGGCAGAGAGAGGCCAGACTCAGATGACGACGTGGACGTCACATCTCTTGTTACTGCCAAATTGGTAAACACTACCATCACTCCAGAGCCAGAGCTCAAACACCAACCCAACTCTAGAGAGAAAGCCAAATCCCGAGGGTTACTCAGAAACTCCCTGTTTGAGAATGATAAAGACGCTGGGACAGAAAGCGAGTCTGTGAAACCTGTCAGAGCCTCCACCAATGCCACAGAGTTCCCAGATGCCAATGGTGCTGGGGTCAAAAGCCAGCGGCCCTTTAGCCCCAGAGAAGCGTTGCGGTCGAGAGCCATCATCAAACCTGTCATCATTGATAAGGATGTGAAAAAAATCATGGGAGGATCTGGAACTGAGGCCACAGTGGAGAAGCAGAAATCCACCTCCAAACCAGGGCTAAATAAGGTGACAAGTAGCATAACTATCTACCCCTCTGACAGCAGCAGCCCCAGAGCCGCCCCAGGTGAGGCCCCGCGGGAAAGGCACACATCCACCAGCAACATCCAGGTTGGGCCAGCAGAGCTCACATCAGTTAGCAACCACGTCAGCTCCCCTTTTGAGCTCTCCATTCACAAACACGACATTGCCCTGCAGTTCACAGAAGCTGAGAGAATGGGAGATGGGTCCCTGAAGAACAAGCCAGAAACCGTGGTCTCTCGTAGCAGCATTATAATCAAGCCATCGGATCCTGTGGAGAGGAACAGCCATGCCCCCCCAGCGGAGACAATCAGGTGGAAAAGCCATAGTGCCCCTTCAGAAGTGGGCTCTTCAGATGCCAGACATGTTACTGTGCGGAATGCGTGGAAGAGTAGGCGAGACTTGAACTCCTTAGAAGACCCCCCAATTCGAACAGGTAGAAATGTGGAAGCTACCAACGCCTACACCCAGAGGGCCTCCACAGACTGTTCAGACCTCGGACAGCCCAGGTTGTACCTTTGTGAGCAGGGTGCTCGAAGGGCAGGAAATTCAGGGGATGCCCCTGAGCTCACCTCCAGAAGGACCCAGAGTAGCCTCACCGTGTCTGAGGCGCTGACTCGTCGGAATCGGGTGGGAGACGCTGCCACCACAGCTGCAGCCTGGAACCACTCGGCAGGCACGGTGAGCCACCCCCTGCTGTCCCTATCCCCCCCCCGCGGACTCTTTTACATTCCTCTTTGCTCCCTCTGTCCTGACGTGTGTGTTTCAGGGTTATGGGGCTGGGAAATCCTGGTAGAGCTAGCTGGATTGCTCAGAGAACTGCTAAAAATAAGGTAGGTTTGGCCTTGAACAAGAGTGAAGTACCTTGAAGAAGGTATTTGGCAGAGAGCGGCATGAGTTTCCCAAACCTCCTTTTCCAGTTTGTCTCTTCTACATATGAAGGCCACACAAAAAGGAGAGCGAGCTGGCCTCCATTCTCTTGGTTTGCCAGCAGAGCAAAAAGAACTCCCCTAAAACCCAACAAAGCAGCACCTAGAAGCACAGGAACCAGCTGCAGCCATGGGAAGCTCTGGGCCAGGGTACCCAGGGACCCCTCTGTAGTGCACATAGGAGGGGGGCAGGGAGAGAGTCTCCACAGCAGAGTTTTGCCAGCTGCTGGCACACGGGGGATGAGAATGAGGGCTTCCAGTGGCCTACTTTATACACTCTGTGCCCATGTGTCACTTTATTTTGCCCCAGAAACCTGCCTAAGCCATTTTTCTATCATCGGTCTGAGGCCAGGACTGGTTCAGTATGACTCCTTACAGGATAGATAAATCCAGAACCACTACCTCCTTTGAGGGTCAGAGTGTCAGAACAGCACCTAAAAGGGAAGCCCCTGGGAGTGTCTTTTAGATGTGGAGTCTATGAGGATGAAAGACGTTTTGGACGTAAGACGTGGGTTTCCTTCTTTTTAAAAGGCAGGAGATGGTGTATTAACTTGAAATGTCCTAGAAGTCCATACTGGGTACTCACCATCTGACAGAGTATGTCCTCACCGTCTCAGTCTCTCCAAGAGCCTCCATTTTTCAGATCTGGACACTGATGGTCGGAGACACAAAAGCGTCTTACCCAAGGCCACCAAACTGAATTACTGGATAAGCTAAGATCCGCCCCCCCCCCCTTTTTTTAATTGTTTATTTTTGAGAGAGGGAGACACAGAATCCCAAGCAGGCTCCATGCTGTCAGTACAGAGCCTGACGATGCAGGGTTTGAACTCAAGAACTGAGATCACGATCTGAGCCCAAATCAAGAGTCAGACACTTAACTGGCTGAGCCACCTTCCTGTTTCTGAATCCAGTGCTCGGTCTACCCCGCCAACCTTTCTCACTCATACTTCTGTTCTTTGATATGTGTTTGTTGGGAAGGACCAAAAACACTGAAAAGGCAGAATTCTGATGGAAGAGGAGTGAAGAGAGGGGTTTAGGCCCCTGAGGCTCTGGCCGAGACAGGATGAGGTATAGGTGTAGGGCCGAAGAGGGAAGGCACCTGAGCTTTTCAGTAGTTTTTAAGTGGGAAGTAGGAAAAGCTTGTCTTGTCCTTTTCAGCAGTCTATAATCCCTCGCCCCCCAAGCAGGGAACTGCGGCCTGCACGCACAGAACTCCAGGATGGCCGGGCCTCCTTACGGGACCACATGGTGCGGCCCCGTCCTCCACTGGCCCCTGCTCAGTTGTGAGCTGCCGGTCTGCCTCTGAGCCCTGGGCAGCCTGGGGGGTTGTGGTCTACCTGAGTTCCCTCAGGCCAGAGAAGAATCTCTGCAGTTATGCGGTGATCTGCCTGCCCTGCACCTCCCTCTGCCAGGCTGAAGAGGACCACTGGGGAAGGGAGGGTCTTGTTTGTTATTCGCTATTGTCCTTTGCAGCTCACTTTTGTCATTACTGGCACAGGAGGAAGGTGATGACTGCACACTTGGTGGCCACAGACGACTGCACAACTCCCTGGAGCGGTCTGAACTGCCTGCAAAACAGGGGCTGCCAGAGCCCGGGCTCGCCCGGGCCGAGGAACGGTTACGGCCCGCCAAGCCCTGTGCCGAGGACAACTGAACCAGCTGGGTGAGGTCTGCCGTCTCTTCTGCTCCTGCTTCTCCGCTCTCCTGCCTTCCTGCCCTGTGAAGGATGCAAGGCCAGTTAACCAGGCTAGACGCCAGGCCTTGGCTGGGAGACTGGCAGACCAGGCTGTGGCTTGGGTCATTTTACCAGTTGGCCAGAGGGGATCAGAAACTACAAGCTGGACATAGTCACCCAGGCCTAGCCTTCCTTGCATGAGTTCTCTGTCCTTGCCCCTGTCCCCAGGTCGGATGGGCCACTCTGGCCCCCAGATGGGGAAAGATCTAGAAACCCCGGTTTTCTCCCTGTACCACAGCAGCTGAAATCTCTTCTCTGCTCCTTGGTGGGTCAGCGGGCAGCCCCTTCTGTGTGGTTCGTTTCTTAGTCTCTTCACCGCATCCAGTTCACTCCTTGTTTGCCCTGGGGGCCAAAGTGGCCCCTAAGACTTAGCATCCATCACCTCCATCTAGGGGGCTTCCACTCCTTTCCCCTTTGGAGTTCTTCAGACTCGTACAGCAGAAGAGGTCTGTGCTGCCTCAAAAGGATTACGGGACCAACCTTCAGGCTGAAGCTTCTCGGACACGGCCCCCTGGCTGACTGCTGTTTCCTGGGGGCAGAACACACGGGTACCCACCTATTGGAATGACATCATCATCCCTCCTCTCCCCTGGCTCTATGCTCACCTTCCAAAGGCATCTCAAAGTGCACAAGCCTCACGCATCTCCTTCCCTGGGCACCAGTAATGCTGCTGGCACTGCCTGTTCCTCCCATGGCTGGAGACATCAGGCTGACTCCGTCGTTTCCATCTTTGGAATACTTCTGGACTAAACTGGGCCTGACCCAGCATACTCTGCCTTCTAGGAAGTGCCCAGCAAGGGGGAAAGTGGGCAGGAAGAAACATTTCCCCAGTCACTCCACAAAGCAATAGTTCCATGAAAGGCATGGACTTCCTTCCTCTTCCTTCATCCCCCACGGAGGAGGAGGTATCGCACTTTACCAGACTGATGCATTCCTACAGAAGTGGGCCCACGGTTTCTGCAAACTGTCGTGATGACTTCACTGGAGGAAAGGTAATAAATGCCCGCTCAGGGCCCCAGGTGTATACAGTGCAAAATGCAGCAAACCTTTCAGGAAGCCACATAAAGTTTATTAATTTCCTTATGGCACATGGGGAAGTTGAAAAGAACCACGTATTCTTGGCACTGCTTTTTGTAGAACTTTCTCAGTTCAAAGAAGGGATCCCTTTTCAAAGGCTACTTTTAATGGCACAGATACTGTTCCTTCATAGTGAAAGAGAGCATTACTTAGGAGTCAGGAAAGCTGAATTTGCTTCATGGCTTTGTATTTTCTTGCTGTGTGACTTTGGGCAAGTCACCATCCTCTTAGGGCCTCAGCTTCCTTATCTATACAATGAATTCTTTGAATTCTGTGTAATGGTCTCTAAGGGTCCTAAATCTGGCATTCTGAGGTGGTTCTGTTTACACTGTCCTGATTCTGCTTTTGGAAGGTAGCATCCAGATGGTTTTGGGGAATGTGTCCTCCCCCAGCCTTGTTTTTCTGGGCCTTATTCTTTCTGTGTTCTAATGTCAGGAGGATGAGCTCAGAGAAGCTCCTTCATTCTTCTAGTTTGTAAGATGAAGGGATTAGATCAGACGGCTTCTGCAGCCCTTTTGGCACTAGTCTTGCCCACTTGCCACACAGCGTCCGTCTTTTGTGACACAAGGTGGCCGTCTCCTGTTGCTGTGGGCCATATTCCCTGCCTACACTTGGGAACCAGCGTCCGCCTCACCCGTGACGGCCATCAGACCCAGACATCCTGGAGGCGGCTTAGGGTACACTGATGAGCTTCCTTTCAGGGTCAGGAATGTTTTGCGCATACTTCCCATTTTTCTGGAGGTGTGCCAGTCTAAGGGTATTACTGTGTAGCTCATCTTTCCATAGTGCTGACTCAGATGCTCAGTTTATGATGCTGTTTTTAAAATCTCTTCCTGCTGCTGCTTCTGGGTCACTGGCCAGAAACTAGCTTGCCCGAAGCGTAACCTTTCTACCTGCAGCCTCCCTGCCATCCTTCACTGGTTGGCAACCTTGAGAGTCCAAAGAAAATGGACCTCTGCGGGGGTCAACTGAGGTTATAGGAAACGAAGTCTGTGGCTCTTCTCGGCTGGTGGAAACAAAAGGGTGCCAAGCCATGCCTGCAAAGATTTCGCCACTAATTATCTTCTTTGGGCGTTGGAGCCCTGGATTCTGGTGCTGTAGCTCCTGGTGCCAAAGTCTGGATCTTTCCACACTGCAGCAGCACCAACATCTGCCACTACCCAAATGCTCTGGAAGAGGGACAGCCACGGTGCCCTCTTGCTGGGGGCTGCTATCTTAAAATCTGAGTGCAATAGGGTTTGATTGTAACAGTTATTTCAGGATATTGTGTTTCCTTACTCTGCATACTTTCTAGAACCATTGTAAAATAGATTTTATTTTTAAGTGTCCTCAACATTGCAGAAGATACCAATTGTAATAGCAGATGAAGGCTGGAGGCTCAGTTCCTCTGGGTTTCAAATGGCTGGCAAGGCTGGCTCTCAAATTCCAAAGTTGGAAGGCACCTTTCTGAAAAGCAACCTCTGTGACCATCTGGACCCAGGCCTCACCATCAGGGGTCCTGGAAGAAATTTCCACATAAAGGGGAGACCTGGTAATTAAATAGCTGCTCAATCAAGCCAAATATCCCCACTGTCCCTGCCAACAAACCCACTTATATGACAAGTCTCTTCTGCAGTGTGGCTCTGACTCTAGATTTTACTGGCAGGTGTATTCATTGTGGCAGGGGGTCCAGCAAGCCGGGCGAACCTGGCACTCCAGAGCTGCTTGGTTGGAGGAAGCAGACCTGGCTGAATGCCAGAGGCTGGGTTCCCTTCCACCTGCTGCCGCCTGTGTCTCACTACTCGGGCACTACAAGCAACCAGAGAAAGCTGCAGGGCTGGTGGCCGAAGGGGATTTGCAGTGGGGCCAAGGACTCCAGCCTCTGCTCCGGGCAAGCCTGCACATAAGTCATTCCCCTCTTACGGGGTGTTGGAGGGTCTGTGGCTGATCTTGGAACTGTCCTCCTGGGGGCAGTTTTAGTGCTTTACATTTAGGGGTTAGTGCCAAGTGCTACCATTTCCCAGTAAAGGAACAGGGACCCAGTCCCTAGCTGCCTCTGTTGATGTGGGGTTTGTATGTTACTCTGACAAGACTGCTTTGGAAGAGCTGCTTTTAGGGATTAACTTTTGTCTACCCTGGGTGGGGCACAGGGTTCTCCTCAAAGCCTCACAACCAAGATCATAGGAAAGGGGCCCTATTTTCCTGCTGCTTCACAGCTCAGAACATGTACTGAATGGAATGTATTTTTAAGAGAATAAAGTCTATTTTTTTGTATTTTAAAGATTGGGAGGGCTAGGGAAGTGTAGCCCTCAAAAAACCCTGTTAATGCATTAAAGGCCCCTGTGCTAGGGGGCATCAGTATCTGTCAGTCCACATCTACTTGTTCAGGCAGGTGCTCTGGTCTCACCCCTGCCCCTTGGAGTCTAGGTGCAGCAGCTTCTACATTCCTGCTCCAAGCCTGGGACCAAGGAGGCCGGACCCTGTTGCTGGAAACCAGGGTGAAGCCATGAGCAGTGACTCAGGGCTCCTTGGGTGCATGTGTATAGTGGAAGCTGCCTGTCTGCATGTATCCTCTGGCTCTAATGCTGTCTGTTGGCTCTGCAGCACAATATGTAACCAATAAAGCTCCCTAGTTTCCATGTGCTCTGTGTGTCAGTGATGCCATTTCTCTTGCTGTCCTCTGAGTACAACTGTTGTCTATGCACTGATACAGCTAGTGTGTTTCACTGTATTTTATTTAAAATACTCAGTGATGCCCTAAAGACTGGAAACCTGCTGAGGCTTGGAAAATGACACACCTAGCACCCACAAAACTGGGCTTAGAATTGCTTAACTGCTACATTTTTTAGTTTTAAAACAATTATCATTGTCTCAAGCTACCTATGCCATGTATTAAAAAAAATTGTTAAAAGCACCTAACTGTAGAGGTTACCGTATTAATGGCACAGCTGGGATTCAAATCTAGGTCCAAAATCAATGTCTGTATACTTCCCACCACATGCTGTTCTCACCTTTACACCACTTGTCCCGATCCTGGTGTGCAGATTTTCCCCATTGCTGTTACTCATTCCAGGACTAGGGGCAAAGCTTTCTCCATCTTCATCTTACCGTCAGACCACAAATGTAATGTCCCCTAAATTTTACTAAGAATAAAACCTCATTTAGGCTAATTATAGGGAAGAATTAACATTAGTAAGCCAGTTTCCAGGAAACAGGAACACTTGAGAAGTTACTATAGTTACTTTCTTATAAAAACGTTTTACTACCTTATGTGGCAAAAGGGATTTTGTAGACAAGAGTAAGGACTTTAAATGAAATCGTAAGTAGCCTTATTAACAGGGGAAACCTGAAGACAGGACTAGAGAACAAGAGAAGCAGAGATCGGAGTAATGTGCTTTGACAATTGCGAAGTAACCTCTTTGCAATTTAAGAAGGCAACCCTCAAGGAGTGTGCTTTGCAGATGGAGAAAGGGGCCACAAATCAAGGAAAACACCAGAAGCTAAAAAAGCAAGGAAATGGAATCTTCCCTCAGAGCCTGCTGTGGTGATCTGTTAGCAGCAGCACTAGGAAACTAACAGATCAGCTAAGTAACCAAACCCTTGATCTTACAGAACACTTCCTAAAACTGTTATAGCGGGACTTGGGAGAAAAGTGGAAGGTTTGTACACACCCATGGAGGGAACCTGGGGAGTAAAGCCAGACGGTCTACTGGAGACACACTGCAACTCTGTGCCTTGTTAACGATTCACAGTTTCCCAGTATCTGTATGCTTGACATATGGCTTCATACTCTTGGCGTACAGTCTCATTCCACAGTCCCAACAGGAAACTCTCTAGTTCCACAGATTAGGGAGCCCATTGCTTCTGTGGGGGCCCCCTTGACCCTATCTTCAGACCTGACCCAACCACTTTTCTCCTTTATATAAATATTTTCCTTATGTAAACATGGATAACACTGCCATTTCCAGAGGGTCTTGTATAGAACTCCAAGGGCAAACAATGAAAGATAGGACTAATTTTATATGAAGTTTTATTTTTAAAATATAAAAAACCACCACACACCAAGAGACTAAGATGTCCTCTCCCCACACTTGCTTACCTCAGTCTTTAGGAAGAACACCAAATCCCACACTAACGGACAACTGCCTCTCTAGCTCTAAGTCACTCAAAGGAGGCAACCTCCTTGGCCACCTGGCATCATGAATTCCAGCAGCTCAACGGGAGCCCAGATGCGAGAATGAGTGAGTTTCTCCGTGGGATCCAGTATTGCTACAAGAGCTTTGCCTGCACAGCAAAAGACACGCACACTGGCTGCTCCCCTCAGAACCCACATCGGTCTCACATGCTTGGGGACTGCTGTGCAGGAACGCCTGGTGTGGCCTGGCGAGGCAGGGTGTACATGGCCCCCAGGAACTGGTCTGCAATCCTTCCTGCTTCTCGCAGCCCGCTCAGCAGAGCACCATGGACGGTGGCTGGGTAGTTACGGATTGTATGTTCTCCAGCAAAGAAGAGTCGTGGAATTGGCTGTTTCAGGAAAGAAAAAAAAATTGAGAAAATCAGAGTTTGCCAACACAACACTTTTGTGGTGTTTGAACTGCTAAATTCCTGTCGGCCTTTGAACGCTGCCCTGCCAATCACAGACCATCATTTTACCAAAGAGGGTCTCCCTGAACAGCGGGCATTCCAAAATTGACAGAAGTAGAAATGCAACAGTAAATAAATAAAATTCGGCCCAGCCTTATTCCAAGGCTGATGCAGAACCGCATCTGTTCTTATGAATCATTTAGTGCTGGGAGATAACCCAGTTTTAGAGCTTCGTTTGCCTCATACAGCACTGCTGGGGCAGAGGGGTTCCAGACTACTCTGTACCATAGAGAATCCAACATTTGTTATTATTCAGAACACCTTTGCCTCTCCGCCCGAGAGCCAGGTTCACAGCGTCCTGAGGAAGCCTTACTACTCTCTGGAGCAGGGTCTGGCATCATCTAGGTAAGGAACCCACAGGGGCATGTCCTGGAGACACCCTGCAACAATCCTATGAGCTATTCCAAAATGGGGTGCAATGTTAAAAATGTTGTCTTTTAGGGACAAAAACTTGAATAAGGAAAAAACTGGCTTATACTGTGGACTCTTCCACTGTGAACTTGGACTGCCTAGATTTACAGAGCCACAATGTGAGAAATCAGAGACAAATAATACTGGTGCCTCTGCCCTTGGTTATTTGAAAGGCTCCAACCTAAAAAAAAAAAATCATCGGCATCAATTTTACCCTGAAATCCTGGGATACTGGCTTTTTCCCAAATACGCCCTGGTGGTTTGCCAGTTTCTCACCTGTGGGGCACCTGGAATTGAAGGGCCAGGAGTGATTGGCTGAGCCATTAAGTCATAGTCATTTCCAGATGACCCCGCAGCTACATATGAATAGGAACCCCGTGCCCAGGGATCAGCACGCCAGCGAGACACCACAGTCTCCTTGGGCTAAAGGAAAAAGCATGAGCAGTAGTTACTATAGGACAAAGACAAACCAATCATCTCTGAAAGGTGGAAAAGCTGAGGTGGGTGGGGACGCAACAGAGCTATGAAGAGGCAGGAGGCACAGGCTAGCTAGGTGAGGAGTGCTGCTGCTATACGACACACAACACAAATGGCTTCTAAGTTTCCATGTTGCTTGCCCAATGAAATCTAGAGATTTACCCAGGACTTAACTTTTGTTCTCTCATTAATTCACATGAAGCATTAATATGCCTTCTCTCAAAGGAATCCTAAGGATCTAAAGTGTTTCAGTGGGCCTAAAGAATAGAAAAAGAGTACCAAGAGATTTTTTTTTAATGTTTACTTTTGAGAGAGAGCAGGAGTGGGAGAGGGCAGAGAAACAATCCGAAGCAGGCTCCAGGCTCTGAGCTGTCCACACAGAGCCCAATGAAGGGCTCAAACTCATGAACCATGAGATCATGACCTGAGCTAAAGTCAGACGCTTAACTGACTGAGCCACCCAGGCAGCCCCCAAGGAGGTCTGACTGCTTTGTCTAAAAGGGCGGAGTGGTGGGACTCCACACGTGGACACAGTGGATGGGACAAGCAGGGATATGAAGCAAATAGCTGCCTCGATTCCCCAGCCCATCTACTGGGGGGCTTTTCTAAACCCTACACTTACATCATGGACTCTCAACCTCAGCATTCACGTAAACCCAGCACCTGCTTGTCCGTTCTGGCTGAAACTGTCCTGGCCAATGTAGAGAGACCATGTCAAACTCTGCTTTAGTGTGAACTCCCGATCCCCACGTCACTCGCCCCTACCCACTTACTTACCTGGGGCACCGCACTGCTACCAAAAATCCCTTTGAGGATGGCCAGGCATCGGCCAACTATCACATCATCACTTATGTTTTCCATGATGCCGGCAGCTTCTCCTGCCACTAGTGCCAATAGTATCGGAGCTAGAGAAACAGAAAGGACAATTCCAGGGTTCTCCTACAGACTTTCCTCAAGAACCTCTTTGTCAGGTCCCACATTCTTTCTAGGCACCCTGAAATCTGATGACCAGGGGACAGACATGCAACACTTGTGCTGGAGACAAGTTATGCTTCTGGAACAGCAACTTAAATTCCATCCCTAGAAGTGAGCTGGCAAACTATAGGTGAGGAAAGTGACTCACGTACTTAACCACTTGTAATTTTGTGGAATACAGAAGTCTTGAAGATGAAACTTCAGACCTTTCTAAGGAAACCAATATTTAGGTACAGAATCCTTAGCCCTGACCACCTTAGACAACTCCAGGGCAAGAGCTACATCCTTTAAACTATTCCAGGCCCCTCCAAGCCCATCACCACCTTTACCCACCCATTTGGTGAATATTTATGTAACAGACTTCCGTGATAGGACACAGTACTAGATACTGGGACATCAAAGCTATAAACTAAATTATACACTCCACAGAGCAGCAGAAATAATCACATAGCTATAATTATGCACTGATAAAAGCAATGAAGAAAAAGGTTACAGAGAAAATACAGGGATTTATTTTTGTTTTAATTTTTTGAAAGTTTATTTATTTTGAGAGACAGAGATAGTATGAGTACAGGAGGGGCAGAGAGACAGAGAGAGAATTCCAGACAGGCTCCATGCTACCAGCACAGAGCCCAATGTGGGGCTTGAACTCACAAAACCAAGAGATTGTGACCTGAGCTGAAACCAAGAGTCTTAACGAAATGAGCCACCCAGGGGTCCCTACAGGGATTTAATTTAGATTTGAGGCAGTGGAGGTATGTGTGTCCTGAAGGGACTCTGAAACAGTGGCATTTATTTAGGTCAAGACCTGAAGGCTGGGCAGAGTATGCCATGTTGGGAACAAAGAGAAGAAAAATAAAAGCTTCCCAGGCCCAGACCACAGTAAATACAGAGGCCCTAAAGTAGAAGACATGAAATAGTTTCATATACATGCATACACACACATATATAAAATAAATATTTTAAGCACCGCATAGAAGAACAATCCAATTACAGAAGAACATAAAACAGGAGGTAGGAGTTTGATACATACATTCTAAAGGAAGTGATCAAAGATTCTGGGCTCGGTCAGATACAAAAGTCTGAGAATGAGGAATGCAAGTTTTACCTTGGGGGAAGCTTCCCTGGTTCTGTGCC